TTTTTTTTTTTTGACATGTGAACAAACTTTAAACTGCTAAGTGGAGAAGCTTTGGGGACTGGCTTTACCCCACTTCTTGGGTCATGAAAGCCAAGCCTAAAGTTCAAGACCCAGTCAGACTGCCCAGTCAGAGCTACCAGAAGTACCTTTGAGAAGGAACTGTCTTCAACCACCAAACTATGGAATGTTGGTGCCCTGCACTTTGGAAGGCACTTTTTACTTAGCTTTTGGTTTCTATTTAGTGAGAAAAGCCTTCTTCAGTGCTGTGCTATAAGGCAGAGTTTCTTAAAGGAGTAGTATTTATTTTGACTTTGTGGGTGTTTTTTTTTTTTTTTAGTTTTGTCAGGCTATAGGAATATTTAAGACTCACAGTGAATGCCAAAATATACTTGGTTGTTTTTACACTTTTTACTCTTTGCTCTTTGGGGGCTGAAGCCCACCATCCAGCTCCCAAAGAATTACGCAGCATCTTATTCTTACTTATAAATGCCTAGCTCTAGCTTGGCTTTTTTTTTTTTAACAGATTTTCTTAACTGAAATTATCCAGTCTATCTTTTACTTCCAGGATTTCAACTTTCTATATACCTTCCTTTACTTCTTACTCTGTGGCTAACATTTCAGCTGGGTGACTGGACCCTGGAGTCCTCTTCTCCTTCTCCATTTGCACTCCAATCTCTCTTTCCAGATTTCCCCTTAATTATTCTCTCTGCATGCCAGCCCTACCTGTCCTTTCTCCTGTCTAGCTATTGACCATTCAGATCTTTTTTTGACAAACCAGGTGTTTTAGACAGGCAAATTAACACAGCTTTACAGAGTTGAAAAATGAAACATAACAAAATGCAACAAATATTTGCATCATTAAACAAATGTTACACAGCATAAACAAATGTAGCACATCTACAACTAATATTCCAGAACAACAGAATAATTAAGATTGAAGCCTACAGTTCTGAATAAACACCATAAAACAGAATGGAAGTATTGCACAATCCTCCCAAGAGCAAGTTGGAGGTGCCATCAAATTCTGCCCACTTGTAAATCAACCCAAGAAGAGGACCATACAGCCCTATGCTCTCATCTTCACATTATGGTCTAAAATTAAACAGTTTTAGTGAAGTTTACCAGTGTAGTCTCAAAGCACGAGATGCTGTGGAATAATCCTTTTGTACAGTGTAAAGATGTATCTTTGCCACGGCACCTCTTGATTGGTTTATATAAAAGAGCTGACTGGCCAATAGTTGTGCACAAAGAGTGTGAGTGAGAGAGCAAGACTAGGAGGATTCTGAGAAGAAGAAGGTTGTACTCTCAGGGTCACCAGCCAGACACAGGAGAAGCAAGAGATAAACAGGCCATGTTGAAAGAAGGTACTCTTAGCAGAGAGTAAGTAGATAAGGAATTTGGATTAATTTAAGTTGTAAGAGCTAGTTAGTAACAAGTATAACCTATTGCCCGAGCATTTATAATTAATGTGCCTCTGTGTAGTTAATTTGGGAAATGGCTGGTAGGACAGTAAAGTCCACCTACAAAGAAGAGAATCTGCTTCAACACTTTCAAAGCATGTAGAAGAATACAGCTTGAATTTTGCTGTGTAGTATTGTGTTTTGTGTCTACAAGTTTTTAATCTATGTCCAAATTTAGACTTTATATTTGTATATAATCATGCTTATTTCATAGTCATGCAACTAAAGATACAAAAAAGGAGGAATAATATGAGAAAGGAGACTGCATTGTTCTTCACAACAAATCACCAGCCAATCTATTGTTGTCATACTTCTCAAATGTATTAATGTGATAGTGAATTTCATTTCTAATTTCATTAGATTGAAGCATACTCAGATAGATGGAAAATTTTTATTTCTGGTCATGTATGAGATTGCTTCCAGATGGGAGTAGATTTTGAATTAGTGAAAAGAGTAAAGAAATTCTCTTTTCACCCAAAATGTCTATGCACTGTCACATCTGCTAAGGACTAGAAGTGAAAAAAAAATACAACGGAAAGGTAGATTCTTTCTTCCTCCCTCTTCTGGAGCTGAGACAACCATCTTACCTTACCTCCAACATCAGACCTCAGGACTGGAGAACTGGTTAGGTACATGAAGCACCTGTGGACCTGAGTACAGATACACACTACTCATATAAGAGATAGGCAACTATAATCCCAGATCCAGGAAGGTAGAGATAGGTACATCCTGGGCTTGCTGGCCTGACAGTCTAGATTACTTGACAAGCTCCAGGTCCAATAAAAGACCCTGTCTCATAAGTAGGGTGAGCAGTATAAAGGAAGACACCTAATAATACCTAGTGTCAACCACTGCCTTCCACATACATGTTCACATATGTATATATGAAGTGTCACACTCATATATGCACACAAACACACATATATCACATACAGATACATCTCCTTCTCTCTCTGTCACACACACAAATACACACACTCACACTAACACTCACACTTACATACACACACA